GGTGGTTACTTAGGGAACATTTTAAAGAGCTTGTAGAGAAAAACTAGAATGCCCGTGTTAAAAGTGCCAAAGCTATTAACACTTCGTAGGAAAAAGCCAGGAGATTTAGGAAATTCACCAAAAGGTGGAGTAGTAATATTAATGCTGACATTATGAAGAGTAAGAACTCCTTGTCAACTGAGTATGATGAGCTTGACTGAACCTCTCTTTGATCTTGAGATAGATAGGATGAAAATCATTCTTCAAGAGCTTCAAAAAATTTGGCTTAAGGAAGAAACCTATGCTAGACAAAGAGCTAGAGATAGGGATATACTGCACGGAGATAGGAATACTAAATATTTCCAGGCAGTAGCTAATCAAAGGAGGAGGAAAACTCTGATTAATTCTGTAGATGGTCTAGATGGGTCTGTTACTGATACTAAAGGTACGTTGGACATAACTTCTTTATACTACAAGGACCTTTTGAAAAAAGAGGATGAATCAGGTTTTACTTTAGATGGTAGATTCTTCTCTGATGGAGAAAAAGTCACCAGCAGGGATAATATTTCCTTACAAAAGCCTTTCTCTGAAGAGGAAGTGAAGGAGGCAATCTTTAGCTCTTATGCAGATGCGGCTCGAGGCCCAAATGGTCTCTCCTTCCTCTTCCTGCAACATTTTTGGGGAACCATCAAAAAAGACATTATGGCCTTGTTTGATGACTTAATTTGTTGTCCTAACTCTTATCCCTAAAGAAAAAGATGCAACTAGTATGAGAAAATTTAGACCAATTAGTCTCCTCAATTGCATCTTTAAGGTCTTTACTAAAGTCCTGACTAACATGTTAGCTCTTTTGATGAATATATTGACATCTAGTAATCAATCAGCTTTCATCAAGGAGAGAGATATATACTTGAGAGTGTGGTTACAACACATGAAGTGTTGCACTCCACTTACCATTCTGGTAACCCATGGCTTGTTCGAAAATTAGACTATGAAAAAGCATTTGATAGGGTCAATACAGATTTTCTCATGGACCTCCTGGAGAAAACAGGGTTTGGTCTACTTTGGTTAAATGGATCGAACAAATTACTCATCTAGGATCTGTAGGGGTTAAAATTAATGGAATTGAAGGGAACTTCTTCGCAACTAGTAAAGGATTGAGACAAGGAGACCCCTTCTCCTCCCTTCTCTTTAACCTAGTGGTAGATGTTTTAACTTGGACGCGCTATAAGGCAGCTACTAATGGGATGATTAGTAGCTTGTACTCAGAGCATATTCCTGGAGGAGTCATTTGCTTACAATATGCAGATGTCAGAATACTATTCCTAGAAAACAATGAGCAAAAAGCTAGTGATCTGAAAACAGTGTTGACATGCTTTGAAAAAGTTTCTGGCATGAAAATTAACTATGCTAAGAGTGAGCTGATTCCTATAGGTCTACCTCCAGATGATACCATTAATTTTGCCGAGATTTTGGGATGCACTATGGGTGTTTTTCCCATTAAGTACTTAGGGATTCCTTTGCACTATGATAAGCTGAGAAGAGAAGACCTCCAACAACTAATTGACAAGATTCTGAAAAGAATTGCAGGATGGAGGGGGAAATTGCTCTCATACTCTGCAAAACTAACTTTGATCAAAGCTTGGCTATCTAGTATCCCAGTTTATTTGCCTATGGACTGATTTTGAGGGGAATAGAAAACTCCACCTCGCCAATTGGCATGTAGTCTGCACGAAGAAAGATCATGGTGGACTAGGGGTTCATAACACAATATGTTAATCTTTGTTTGTTAGGAAACTCGGTGAAGAGATGTATTAAGGATGAAGGAAACATTTGGAGAACCATCATAGATAACAAGTATGTGAGGGACTCTGCCAATATCTTTCGACTAATACCCACGACTTCCAGATTTTGGCAGGGGGTCATGTGGGCTGCCAAAGCTCTTAAATTTGGCTATAGATGGGTGGTAGGAGATGGATCCAATATCAAATTCTGGGAGGATATTTGGTTTGGAACATCCCCTCTATCTGTCCAATGCTAGCCTTTATATTCCATCTGCCAGCAGCAGTGTGCTACTCTTGCTGAGATTTGGAATGGCCAAGAGATTAGATTGACATTTAGAATAACCTTCTCTCCACATATGATGGAAAGCTGGTATGAATTAGAGCAAATCGTCAAGGGGACTCAATTCCCTGGTGTGGCAATATGAATCAAGGGAGAATTCACCACAAGCTCACTTTATAGTATAATTAACTTTAGGGAGTGCAGCCTGTCTATATTTCCTCTATCTAGAATATAGTGACCCCACCTAGAGTACAAGTTTTCCTATGGTTGTCATCTCACAACAAGTTAATGACTAAAAACCATAGATTAAAATCGCGGGAGAAACGATTTCGCGGCGGCCTCTCCCGGCAGCTATAGCGGCGGCCATAGCGGGCAATCGCGGCAAATAGCTGAAATTTTTCTGGTGGGAGAGAAGATTTCTGGAGGGTTTTGCTCATTGTTGAGCCATTTAGATGGGTTTGTGGAGGATTTCGCGGCAGCAGCCACAGCGTAGTGGCGAGGCTTCTCGGCAGCTATAGCGCAGCTATCGCGGCTATTTTGTGGGCTATTTTAATCTATGCTAAAAACAACTTAGCAAAAGAGGGATCCTGAAACCCCCTGAGTGTGCTTTCTGCAATGAAACTGAAAGCATCAATCATTTATTCTTTGATTGCGTGGTGGCCAAAAAATTTGGCTTTTGGCCTCTGAGTTCCTTGGTGTTAATCTAGGACCTGACTACCTCTCTATTGCAAAGTTTGGCCTGTCAACAAAAAGAAAAGTGCTTTGAACTCTGTTTGTTCCTGTGTTCTGTGGTGCATCTGGAAATTCAGGAACTCAATGATTTTTGACAATGTGTATTGGATTGATATCAAACAAGTGTAGCTACTAATTCTGAGGACAACGAGGAAGTGGTTGATCCTCTACAAGGAGGAACCCCTACTGAAAGTGGA